AACAGAGAGCCAAATCATGAATGAACTTCCATTCACAATTACTTCAAGGAGAATAAAATACCTAGGAATCCAACTTACAAGGGATGTAAAGGACCTCTTCAAGGAGAACTACAAACCACTGCTCAGTGAAATAAAAGAGGACACAAACAAATGCAAGAACATACCATGCTCATGGATAGGAAGAATGAATATCGTGAAAATGGCCATACTGCCCACGGTTATTTATAGATTCAATGCCATCCCCATTGAACTACCAATGACTTTCTTCACAGAATTGGAAAAAACTGCTTTAAAGTTCATAGGGAACCAAAAAAGAGCCCACATCTCCAAGACAATCCTAAGTCAAAAGAACAAAGCTGGAGGCATCACGCTACCTGACTTCAAACTATACTACAAGGCTACGGTAACCAAAACAGCATGGTACTGGTACCAAAACAGAGATATAGACCAATGGAACAGAACAGAGTCCTCAGAAATGATACCACACATCTACAGCCATCTGATCTTTGGCAAACCTGACAGAAACAAGAAATGGAGAAAGGATTCCCTATTTAATAAATGGTGCTGGGAAAATTGGCTAGCCATAAGTAGAAAGCTGAAACTGGATCCTTTCCTTACTCCTTATTCGAAAATTAATTCAAGATGGATTAGAGACTTAAATGTTAGACCTACTACCATAAAAACCCTAGAGGAAAACCTAGGTAGTACCATTCAGGACATAGGCATGGGCAAAGACTTCATGTCTAAAACACCAAAAGCAACAGCAGCAAAAGTCAAAATTGACAAATGGGATCTCCTTAAACTAAAGAGCTTCTGCACAGCAAAAGAAACTACCATCAGAGTGAACAGGCAACCTACAGAATGGGAGAAAATTTTTGCAATCTACTCATCTGACAAAGGACTAATATCCAGAACCTACAAAGAACTCAAACAAATTTACAAGAAAAAAACAAACAGCCCCATCAAAAAGTGGGCAAAGGATATGAACAAGCATTTCTCAAAAGAAGACATTCATACAGCCAACAGACACAGGAAAAAATTCTCATCATCACTGGCCATCAGAGAAAAGCAAATCAAAACCACAATGAGATACCATCTCACACCAGTTAGAATGGGAAAATTATCATCACTGGCCATCAGAAAGCAAATCAAAACCACAATGAGATACCACTATCTCAGCACCAGTTAGAATGGCGATCATTCAAAAGCTGTGGGAAAACAACAGGTGCTGGAGAGGATGAGAAATAGGAACACTTTTACACTGTTGGTGGATTGTAAACTAGTTCAACCATTATGGAAAACAGTATGGCGATTCCTCAACGATCTAGAACTAGTTGTACCATATGACCCAGCCATCCCATTACTGGGTATATACCCAAAGGATTATAAATCATGCTGCTATAAAGACACATGCACACGTCTGTTTATTGCGGCACTATTCACAATAGCAAAGACTTGGAATCAACCCAAATGTCCATCAGTGACAGACTGGATTAAGCAAATGTGGCACATATACACCATGGAATACTATGCAGCCATAAAAAAGGATGAGTTTGTGTCCTTTGTAGGGACATGGATGCAGCTGGAAACCATCATTCTTAGCAAACTATCACAAGAACAGAAAACCAAACACCGCATGTTCGAACTCATAGGTGGGAACTGAACAATGAGATCACTTGTACTTGGGAAGGGGAACATTACACACCGGGGCCTATGATGGGGAGGGGGGGGGAGGGATTGCATTGGGAGTTATACCTGATGTAAATGACGAGTTGATGGGTGCAGCACAGCAAGATGGCACAAGTATACATATGTAACAAACCTGCACGTTATGCACATGTACCCTAGAACTTAAAGTATAATAAAAAAATAAATAAATAAATAAAAATAATAATAATTGATGAAAAAATAATCATAAAAAAAGAAAAAAGAAAATATACAGATATAGCTTGGAGATATATGGCTTTCGCTCTAAGCAAGTACAATTAAACAAATATCACAATAATGTGAGTCACACAATTTTTCTTCTTTCCCAGTGCATATGAAAGTGATGTTTACACTATACTGTAGAATAAGATTGAAATAGCCTATGTTTGCAATAACAGTGTACCTACTTTAATAAAAAATGTACTTTATTGCAAAAAAATGCTGACACAGATGTAAACACACACAAAGGTCACATGATGTTGCAAAAATAGTGTAATAGAGTCACTCAATATAGGGTTGCAAAAAGCCTTGAATTTGTAAGAAATCCAATATCTATAAAAAACAATAAAATGCCATAAGACTAGGTATGCATGCATAACAATCAATGTTCACTGTGATATACTTAGAAATCATACATAAAGGATATTTACATGTTTATAAAAGTAATTGACCTGTTACAGAATGGGTAGGAGATAAAAATTACAAAATGATTTATAAAAGTAAATTAAAAGGGAGACCAAATCCAAAACATTCCTGAGTGGGCAGAATCAGTTAGACATCCTCAGTGACCTCATCTTGTTGACTTGCAAATAAGCAAAACATAACATGAGCTATTTTTGTGAATGCCTGCACTAAAAAAAAAAAAAACTTAGGCTTAACTTATCATAAGTGCCAAGAATCTTATAGTAGCATATGTCTATAAGGTAAACGAAAAAATACAATTTTATAACTGCAAAGAATCTGAGTTTGTGTCTCCTTGTAAAAACTCATTTGTAAAAATTTAATTATTAATATGCTAGTTTTAAAATATGGAGCCTTTTGGGAAGCGACTCAGGAGGGCTTCATCCTCATAAATGTAATTAATTTAAATATATTAAATAACATAATTTTATAACATAATTAATAACATAATTTTAATATTTTGTTCCTGCATTTGTTCAATACAATCATACCTCTGACACTTTGCCATTGAAGTGGTAATCCTCTCTTGCTCTAGTGTTCCACAATTCATAAGTTGCTTCTTACTGAAGAAAATATTTTTAAAACAGGTTCTTGCTTTATTGTCCATGCTGGAGTGTGCACACAGAAAGCTCTCTGCAGCCTTGCATCTGAAGCTCAAGCCATCATCCCCCTTAGCCCCATGAGTAGCTGCAACTACAGGCATGCACCACCACACCTGGCTAATTTCTTCTTATGTTTTGTAGACACAGGGTCTTACCATGTTTCCCAGGCTGGCCTCAAACTCCTGGGCTCAAGTAATCCCCTCAACTTGGCCTCTCAAAGTGCTGGAATCACAGATATGAGCCATCATTCCCATCCAAGAAAACTTTTAAAATTTATATTGTGCTACAGTTTACTTTTTAACAGGACAAAAATAAAATAAACTAGCTATACATAAATCTAACAAACATTTGTTAAGCATATGAGAAAGACCATAAAAAGTCCTTGAAATATAAGAAAATCAGCAAAAACAAATGGAAAACCAAATCATGTTCTAAGGTAGAAACACTCAATATCACTCAATCATCATTTTTTTAGAAGCAATTCAGAAATTTAATTTTGTCCCAATAGAGATACCATCTGGTATTGGAAGCAGCCGCTTTATCACAAAACTCCTATAGATGAAAACACAAAGAACAGCTGAGAAAACTCTGCAAAAGTAGAGTGGCTATCCCACCCTATGACACATGCTGATTTATGAATATGTGGATAGGTCAGTGGAAGTACAAATTTAAAATAAACTACAGTATATGAGGAAGTGTCTCTGTTCAGGCTGCTAAATAAAATACATTAGACTGGGTAATGTATAAATAACAGAAATATATTGGTCGCAGTTCTGGAGGCTGCAAAGTTCAAGATTAAAGCACCAGCAAATTCAGGATCTGGTGAGGATCCTGTTTCTCTTAAATGGTGCCTTCCTCCTGTGTTCTCACATGGCAGACAAAAGTGCTCCCTTCAACCTCTATACAGGGTATTAATTACATTTGTGAGGATGAAGCCCTCCTGAGTGAGTCGCTTCCCAAAAGGCTCCGTGTTTTAAAACTAGCATATTAATGATTAAATTTTTACAAATGAGTTTTTACATGGAGATACAAACTCAGAGCATAGCAAAAAGTTAATTGGCAATACAAACTACAGTTGGGTTGGCATCATTAATGCTTTGGGTATAGGAATCTGATGTTTCTATCATAAAGGTAAAAAATAACATGCTAATTATAACCTGCAATAAAATAAAGGTCAAATGAAAGACAAAGCTATACAATGAAAAAAATCAGGCTTTTACAAGGTAAATTATTGAAGGTTGTATCAGGATTTTTGTGGTTTCTGGGGATGAATAAGAAACCAGAGATTCCTCCTGTGCCTTTTTTACTGAAGTTTCTGATGCTCTTACTCAATTTGAAAGGCACTGAATCTCACACACCCAGAAACATCACGTTCTGTCAGATACAGGACTTCCCCCTGAGCCACAGCCTCGCCATTCACACATGATCAGAGGTTTTCCCAGGCATGCACTGCTCTGTGCTCTCCCACACAGGCTCAGCCCTGAGCATCTGACTCTGAAGGTGACTGATGAACATGTGCCCTAGTACTCTCATTTATAGAAATTTTGTTTTCTCTTAATAATATCTAACAGAGCTCTAGGGTCTTTCCTGACTCCACCTACCACATACAGATAGACTGGGAGATTTGGACAGAAGCTTGAATCCTCACTCGAAGCCCTGCCCTGTCCCATCAGCTTTTCCAGAAGAACAAGGTGCTAATTACTCCTGAGAGACCACATGTCACAGCATCTCTCTGTGCCAATTGAATAAAAAATAAGAAGAGAAGTAGACTAAAATTTCTGCTGAGGGTTGTATCTAAGCATCTACTTCCCAGATTTTATCTCTATTTTGCACAATTATTGACAAATATAATTTCATCTTTAGATGAAAAACTGAAGAAGTAACCCCAGCTCACATAGGAAGGAGAAAAGAGAATCAATGTTCTATAGAATCCAGCTTACGTCAGCCATGGGGTGGTAAGTCTCCTCAGAAAAAAGCAGTTGTTTTCGATCATCATAAACAACTGTGGCCTCAGACAGCTGGACACTGAGAATGCAGGATATTCCCTGGGATTCCATGCCTACATCACAGAGAGAAGCTAATACCACAGGTCCTCTTCTACCATTTGGTCTAACTAATACTACTCCACTTCCTGGCCCAACAGGATTCCCCAACTCTTCTCTGGGCCTCACTAGGGATAGTTCAGAAAGATAAAAAGTTATTAATGTTTCTCCATTTCTGTAGTTTCTGGGGTATAATTTGTTCATTGTTAGGTTTTGAGGTTTTGTCCTCCCTCTACATCCACAGAATTTTTGTGTCTTATTCTTGTACCTATAACTTTATATAGTCATTTTCTCTAGTCTAGTCACCCATACTGTCTTCTAGTCACTTTTTTCTAGTATAGCGAGATGATATGGAAACAAGAACATCTATATAAAAGTTCACTTTTATATGGAACACAACCCTCTTTGGGCTGGACTGTCATTCAGAGAATGTACAAACCAGTTTTGCCTGGGATTGCAGCTAAGGAAAAGAAAGACCCATCTTGCCCAGGAATGGTCAGTGAGAAATCTCAAAGTTTGAAAATGGATGCCTATAGACTTCAGGGAAGTTCTTTTAATCCTAGAGTCAGTAAATATGGGATTGTGGGGTGCTTGGGGGCAAGTCACATTCAATTAACAAATTACGTATGTGTGGACCCAGAGAAAAAAAAGGAAGTAAAATCAAGCAGTTTGCTATGTTGATAAACATAGTGATAAAAGCTACAATGTGATTAAAATGCAAGCAGTCTCAAAACACTAAAGGTTACATGAATGAGCTTCAACTGACACATGGTGTGGCTGGAATCACCTGATTATTATGCTAAAGGTGAGATATGATCAATACCTCAGGAAGTGGGTCAAAGGCCAATGCAGTTATCATGCCAGGAATGGTCTGGGGCCTTCTAAACCATGAGACAAATAGTTCAACTTTCACCAAGAAGCACAAATCTGGCATGCAGAGATGACCTCTGCATTACACATGGATTCAGGCTTGGTTTTGGGTTTAATTGTGGTTAATATTTGCAGAGAACAGATCCTTATTATGGACTCCTAAATGAAGGACCTGACAGATCAGCAGATAAAATTCTGATCTGAAGCCAACAAAAAGGATGTCCTTTACCAAATAGCCTTTAGTTTCAATGTGGAAGATTAAACAGAACATGGCCAGTGATCCAAAACCCTGAGCTCTTACCATTTAGATGGAGCAACCAGCCTGGCTTCAGGTTCTGTGCAGCTGGCACTGAGGTTAGACATCCACAGCCACCCAGTGAGCACCATAAGGTGGCAGCTTTCTTGACTCACCAGTGAATTAGGGCCAGGCACCTAGGAAATATTCAGTAAACTGAAGACCCCATAGAACTGGCAGTTTTACTTCAAACAGTGAAGTGGGATGAATTAGTTCCTTTCCATACTGCTGATAAAGACATCCCTGAGACTGGGCAATTTACAAAAGAAAGAGGTTTAATGAAACCACAGTTCCACATGGCTGGGGAGATCTCACAATTATGGCAGAAGGTGAAAGGCATGTCTCACATGGTGGCAAACATGAGAAGAGAGAATGACAGCAAAGCAAAGCAAAAACAATTTCTCCTTATAAAACCATCAGATCTTGTGAGATCTACCACCAGGAAAGTATGGGGAAAACCACCCCCACGATTCAATTATTTCCTATCAGCTCCCTCCCACAAAACTTGGGAATTATGGGAGCTAAAACTCAAGATGAGATTTGGGTGGAAACACAACCAAACCATATCAAGGAGTATAAAATTTTCACCAAAGAACCTAATTTTTCTGTTACAGCTAAGATATCCCTGTGACAGTCCAATTTTCTTTTGGAATATGTTACATTCTAAGTGGCATTCTGATGTCTTGGAGAACTCAAATTTACTCACTTCAAAATTAGAATATCAAGCTAGGATGCCCCAAGCCCTTGATGTGTGAGGATTCAGTTGTACAGGAGCTTCGTAGCAAGATTATCAATGACTTTCAAATCAGTGTAAGCAATAGTGTCAGTGAGACTATGTGTCAAAAACTCTAAGGACCGCCTCTAGGTGGAGGCTGACTCCCTCTCTCAGAGTCTTCAAATGAAAACAATATCAAGTATTCTCTGGCTGCTGGAAGAATAGAACTATGCAAATCTGTCCACATAGTTCCAGTGAATCTTAACTGGAAAACAGGACTAGAGATATTGGGGATTTTATCAGCTACTGGCAGAGATGTTACCATTCTAGACAGGAGCATGAAGGCAGATGCTTCCAAACTGGCAGCCAATAAGCGTCACCTACAGAGTTAAACTTTTTGGACATCAGAGGGTAGAGGCACTCACGATGAATTCTGCCCTGCCATTGTGGCAAATCGCAGGGAAGTTTGCCTCACTTACACTCCTTGACTTGTTCCTCACCCCGTTTAGAGTAATCCCCTCTGGCACTTATGGGGCAGATAAGGACAAAAACACCTAACCTGACAATTGCTACTACAGATTCTGATGTAGAAACACAAAAGGACATTGATTTAGCTCAAAAAGCTCCATCTCCAATTTTACATGACATTCCTTCCTTCACTGTCACCCTGCCCAAGCACTAGTATTTGAGTTGTGCTGTTTGTTTTTATTTTATTGTTTACCTTTGTTTTATGTTATCCTCTATGTAAACACAAATTAACAAGCTACACTGTCCCCAATACGGGGGAATACAAAACACCAATAAAGGCTGGCACAGGTGTGCGTTGGGGATAGGATAGGGCAATGGGGAGGTGTTATTCTCTCTAAACTTTTCACCCTGAGGTCTGTGCTGCCCCCTCGCCATTGTAGCTTCTAGTTTTTGGAAAGTATTCAGGATCAGAAGCCTCCATTTGATGAAGGAGAATAAAGTCCAAGATCAAGATGTGGGCAGGGTGGGTTTCCTCCAAGGCCTCTCTCTTGAGGTTGTAAGTGGCCGCCTTCTACTTTTGTCCTCACGTGGCCATTTCTCAATGCGTGCACATTTGCATCTTTATCTCCTCTTTTAGGGAGACATCAGTTACATTGGATTGGGGTTCTCCCTAAGGTCCTCATTTTAAAACCTTTTTATTGTAACTGATAAAAATTGCCTACATTATGGTACTGTTGTGAAATATGCACACATTGTGGAATGGTTAACCCAAGATAACTGGCATATGCGTTACCTCACATACCCATTATTTTTTTGTTGTGAAAACACTCAAAACCTACTGTCCTAGCAATGTTCAAGAACAGATTATATTAACTGTAGTCACCAAGTGCAATAGATCTCCTGCACTTATTCCTCCCATCTAACAGAAATTTTGTGTAATTTGACCATCTCCCTACTCCTTAACCTCTGCTCCCGAAGACCTCATTTTAATATAATTACCTCTGTGATGATGCTTTCTCCAAATATAGTCACATTCTTAGGTGCTGGGGGTTAAGGTATCAACATATACATTCTGGGAGGCAGACGATTCAGCTCACAGCAGCCTCTGTAAGGGCATAACATTTACATTGAGATCCCAGTAACCTGGACATAGAGGGAATGACATGCAAAGAGTCTGAGGAAGAAAATTCCAGGCAGAGGATTCTATTGAGCAATGATGCTGAAATGGACATAAACAGGGTGAGTTTGAAAAACCAGAGACCAGTGGCAGAGGGAAGGGCATGCAGAAAGCAAGGGGAGGAGGTGAAGTCACAGAGTTCCTGTGAGATATATAAACTTGACTGTGATTTCATTTCCCATGCGGTGAGAAGTCATTGGAGGGTTTTAAGCAAGAGGTACAATCAGATTCATATGTCTAAAAGCTTTTTCCAGTTGCTTTATGAAGAATTAATTCTAAAGAGGGCAAACATGGAAAAAGGCAGCCTTTTGTTGCTTGTCAGATAAAAATGATACTGGCTTAAACTAGGTGATGTGAAAGCAGAATGAAGTAGGTGGATTGGGGATACATTCTATTTTGGGGATACATTTGACCCTGAGGCTATAGGAAATGTTGGTTTGCTGCATGCAACAGAAAAGAGTCTTCAAGACTACTGCTACATGTTAGTCAAGTCAGGAGAATTTCCAGAGATATGATGTGGCCCTTTACTGAGATAGGAAAGAACAGGAGAACAGGCTTTCAGAGAACATTCAAGTGATAACAGTATTTTCCTAAGAGCATTGGTCAGGAAATTTGGTAGAGACTGGGCATCCTTAGCAGTACTGACACACCTCTTACTGGGTCATTTTAGCACTGACATCCAGACCCGGAGCATGGAAATTCCCAAATGGGAAGAGGCGTGATGCTGTAGGAACACAAGTGTGGTGATGAGGTTGGTGGGGCTTTGCAGCACACCAGCTGTGTGATCTCGATGGAGAACTGCTGCATTTGGCCTGGGTGAGGTGAGTCTCTGGTGCAGTGGGGATAAGGGCACCCACCTCATAGATTTGCCTAGACGATTCAACAGAGTCACGCTCACGAAATGAATGAAGTCCTGGCACATGCTGGGCCATTGGCATGAATTGTTATTGGTATTATTAATATCCTCAGTGTTTTTATTAATATCCTCAAAACTGATGGGACCTCAGCTCATCAACTCCAAAAAAACCTTCAGAAATATCCAAAGGCCCTCAGACAGTCTTCACTCTTCCATACATTTCTCCAGCCTAGTCGCCAACCGACTCTCACTTCAGCCTTGTTTTTAAGTTAAACAAGTGATGCTGGCCATGTTCCTAAGGCTCTGAGCAGTTTGTCAGTTGTGTTCTGTCCACCCCAGGCCTTTGACAGGCATTGATGCCTTTTAGCAGATCTAGGAAGTTTGTTTGTACTCCTCCTTTCCAGGGAGATTAATTGTGAATAATTGGATTGGTCAAATGCTCTCTGTGTCTGTTGAAGGGATCTTGCTGTTACTTTCCTTTATCCTATTACTTTGTGTAATGTATTGATTGATTATTGGATACGTCAATATTGCATTTGTGAAATAATTCCTTTTGGTCTTTTTTAGGAGAGTAGTCATGTAAATAGTCATAATATACCCTTGTATTTATTGACAAATCTATATTATGTTTTGTAAGGAAAATGCTTTTGTAATTTGAAGGTATTTTTTCTGAAAACTTTATTTATTTATTTATTTATTTATTTATTTACAATCAGAATATCTTTTTATTGGCATAAAAGCTAGGTACATGCTGACACTTGTAAAATCACGCAGTTAGCAAACTCTGGGTCACCTGGCTGTGCATAACACAAGGAAAAGGTCTCATGGCATTATGAATAGATGCTGCCCTTTCCTACCTTGCAGATACCCCAATTTTTTTTTTTTTTTTTTAGCTCAGCTGCAATTAACCTCTACTTTGCTCTTTGTGAAACATACGGCAGATTCTAAAACATTTTACCATCCTACATAGGAAATAAATGGCAATCCCTCATTTTTGGCACCTACGTCTTTTCATTCTCTCTGACTTGAAGGAAATGGTTGAAGATGAACACAGGCAGTATGGCACATCAAAATTGGAAATTTACAGCACCCCTGGTCCTTTTCCAGAGTGGGGATCTACTAAAAGTATTTCTTTTATTTATTTATTTATTATTATTATTATACTTTAAGTTCTAGGGTACATGTGCATAACGTGCAGGTTTGTTACATATATATACTTGTGCCATGTTGGTGTGCTGCACCCATCAACTTGTCAGCACCCATCAACTCGTCATTTACATCGGGTGTAACTCCCAATGCAATCCTTCCCCCCACCCCCCTCCCCATGATAGGCCCCGGTGTGTGATGTTCCCCTTCCTGAGTCCAAGTGATCTCATTGTTCAGTTCCCACCTATGAGTGAGAACATGCGGTGTTTGGTTTTCTGTTCTTGTGATAGTTTGCTAAGAATGATGGTTTCCAGCTGCATCCATGTCCCTACAAAGGACACAAACTCATCCTTTTTTATGGCTGCATAGTATTCCATGGTGTATATGTGCCCCATTTTCTTAATCCAGTCTGTCGCTGATGGACATTTGGGTTGATTTCAAGTTTTTGCTATTGTGAATAGTGCTGCAATAAACATACATGTGCATGTGTCTTTATAGCAGCATGATTTAGATATTGTGAATACTGCTGCAATAAACATACGTGCATGTGTCTTTATAGCAGCATGATTTATAATCCTTTGGGTATATACCCAGTAATGGATGGCTGGGTCATATGGTACATCTAGTTCTAGATCCTTGAGGAATCGTCATACTGTTTTCCATATAATGGTTGAATCCTTAGTTTACAATCCCACCAACAGTGTAAAAGTGCTCCTCATTTCTCCACACATCCTCTCCAGCACCTGTTGTTTCCTGGACTTTTTAATGATCGCCATTCTAACTGGTGTGAGATGGTATCCCATTGTGGTTTTGATTTGCATTTCTCTGATGGCCAGTGATGATGAGCATTTTTCCCCGTGTCTGTTGGCTGCATGAATGTCTTCTTTTGAGAAATGCCTGTTCATATCCTTTGCCCACTTTTTTGATGGGGTTGTTTGTTTTTTCTTGTAAATTTGTTTGAGTTCTTTGTAGGTTCTGATATTAGTCCTTTGTCAGGATGAGTAGATTGCAAAAATTTTCTCCCATTCTGTAGGTTGTCTGTTCACCTTGATGGTAGTTTTTGCTGTGCAGAAACTCTTTAGTTTAATGAGATCCCATTTGTCAATTTTGGCTTTTGCTGCCGTTGCTTTTGGTGTTTTAGACATGAAGTCTTTGCCATGCCTATGTCCTGAATGGTACTACCTAGGTTTTCCTCTAGGATTTTTATGGTGTTAGGTCTAACATTTAAGTCTCTAATCCATCTTGAATTAATTTTCGTATAAGAGTAAGGAAAGGATCCAGTTTCAGCTTTCTACTTACGGCTAGCCAATTTTCCTAGCACCATTTATTAAATAGGGAATCCTTTCCCCATTTCTTGTTTCTGTCAGGTTTGTCAAAGATCAGATGGCTGTAGATGTGTGGTATCATTTCTGAGGACTCTGTTCTCTTCCATTGGTCAATATCTCTATTTTGGTACCAGTACCATGCTGTTTTGGTTACTGTAGCCTTGTAGTATAGTTTGAAGTCAGGTAGCATGATGCCTCCAGCTTTGTTCTTTTGACTTAGGATTGTCTTAGAGAGATGCGGGCTCTTTGTGTTCCATATGAACTTTAAAGTAGTTTTTTCCAATTCTGTGAAGAAAGTCAGCTGGTAGCTAATGGGATGGTATTGAATCTATAAATAACCTTACAGTATGCATTTTTTATTTTCACGATATTCATTCTTCCTATCCAGTATGAGCATGGTGGTTCTTCCATTTGTTTGTGTCCTCTTTATTTCACTGAGCAGTGGTTTGTAGTTCTCCTTGAAGAGGTCCTTTACATCCCTTGTAAGTTGATTCCTAGGTATTTTATTTTGGAAGCTGGTAATTGTGAATGGAAGTTCATTCATGATTTGGCTCTGTTTGTCTGTTACTGGTGTATAAGAATGCTTGTGATTTTGCACATTAATTTTGTATCCCCAAATGACTTTGCTGAAGTTTCTTATCAGCTTAAGGAGATTTTGGGCTGAGAGAATGGGGTTTTCTAACATACAATCAGGCCATCTGCAAAGAGGGACAATTTGACTTCTTCTTTTCCTAACTGAACTTCTGATTTCTTTCTCTTGCCTGGGATTGCCCTAGCCAGAACTTCCAACACTATGTTGAATAGGAGTGGTGAGAGAGGGGCATCCCTGGGTTCCCAGCCAGTTTTCAAAGGAATGCTTCCAGTTTTGCCCATTCAAAGGATATTGCCTGTGGGTTTGTCATAAATAGCTCTTATTATTTTGAGGTACGTTCCATCAATACTGGAATTTATTGAGTTGCTTTTAGCATGAAGGGGCTGCTGGGAATTGTCAAAAGCCTTTTCTGCATCTATTGAGATAATCATGTGGTTCTTCTTGTCTTTGTTTCTGTTTAGTATGCTGGATTATGTTTATTGATTTGCGAATGTTGAACCAGCCTTACATCCCAGGGATGAAGCCCACTTGATCATGGTGGATAAGCTTTTTGATGTGCTGCTGAATCCGGTTTGCCAGTATTTTATTGAGGATTTTTGCATCGATGTTCATCAGGGATATTGGTCTAAAATTCTCTTTTTTTGTTGTGTCTCTGCCAGGCTTTGGTATCAGGATGATGTTGGCCTCATAAAATGAGTTAGGGAGGATTCCCTCTTTTTCTAATGATTGGAATAGTTTCAGAAGGAATGGTACCAGCTCCTCCTTGTACCTCTGGTAGAATTCAGCTGTGAATCCATCTGGTCCTGGACTTTTTTTGGTTGGTAGGCTATTAATTATTGCCTCAATTTCAGAGCCAGCTATTGGTCTATTCAGGGATTCAACTTCTTCCTGGTTTAGTCTTGGAAGAGTGTAAGTGTCCAGGAAATTATCCATTTCTTCTAGATTTTCTAGTTTATTTGCATAGAGGTGTTTATAGTATTCTCTGATGTTAGTTTGCATTTCTGTGGGGTCGGTGGTGATATCCCCTTTATCATTTTTAATTGCGTC